TTCCCCGCTGCTGTCAGCTTCTACATTTTTCATAGGGGTTGATTTGAGGTGGTTTGAAGAAACTGGCGGGATGTCCACGGCCACCCCTCTGGGCATGCACGGTGGGGTTCCTGCGCATGCCTGAGGTCTGGGCGCGAAAATCTGTTAAGAGCTTGCTACAATGCCGATCGATCCAGCGTGTGCATACTAGATCCCATGGGTGTGAATGCACAGATGACCACTCGAAGATCACCAGTTACAGGTAAGCAACCTGTTTATCTGTATCAATTAATATTATGTGTTGAGTCCCAGGCAAGAAAGTCCAGTTACACAGAAGTAAAGATGCAGTTAAAAGATAGGGTGCATTGGTTGAAGGCCAACAGACATCCTGTAATATGGGATTCAGCCAACACTTGCTCACTCAGTTAAGAGCCTTGAAGTTATACTGGATCCAGCATTACTACTGGAGAAGCAAGTAAGTGCAGCTGCAAAAAAAACACTTTATCCGAACTCAGTCTAGCGCACAAGATGCCTCTCTACCTTGACTCATCCAATGTGGCGACCTGAATCCATGCCACAGTAACATTGAGACTCTACGTAGTTGTGCCTTAAAAGTCAATTCAGAGATTCCTGTTAGCTCAAAATGCAGCAGCTAGATTATTTCAAGGAACTATGCAGAATGTGCACATCCATTCTGCAGTCACTCTATTAGCCGCCAATCAATTACTGGGCTCAATTCAATGTATTGACTAAGACATACAAAGCCCTTCATGGCCTTGGATCCTCTTATCTGTGAGACCACCTCTCTCCCTATTCTCTGCCACTCCAACTTTGCTTATCCCAGCAGGGCCTTCTGCAGGTACCATTCTGCAAATGGTCAAAATCTATAATCACCCATACTCATGCATTCTCTAATGTAGATCCCATTTTATGCCTCCCTGACAAGGTTAGGGATGCTTCCACTCTCTGGGCTTTCTGCAAACTATGCAGAATGGAATAATTCAAGAGGGCTTTTTGCACAGGTAGATAGAACTATATTGTAATGAAATGGTCAGAAAGTTGCATTGGTAAAAGAATAGAGACCGTGACCTACACTGTATTGCTGCCTAATACTGTAACTGTGCTCCAGACTAGGTAGTTTCTACCAGGAAAAAGAGGTGCAGGAGCATATTAGCATAACTCATTAGCATAACTTATTTGCATATGCCACACCCCCTGACATCACCTGTTTGGAGGGTGGACTCTATAGAATTATGTCTCATGAAGGTCCCCAAACCCTGTCCACTGCAGACTATACCCTAGGGTTGCCAGGTCCCCCCTGCCCAACAGCAGTGCAAGGAGGGGTAGTGTTGCCAGAACCAGGTTGGGAAACTCCTGGAGATTTGGGGGTGAAGCCTGGGAAGGACAGGAACCTCAGTGGGGTAGAATGCCATAGAGTTTGCAAACATACAAATGTATCTGCCAGAACAATAAAAACTGGTAAAAGGTATTATAGTATGGAGGAAAATTGCCTCAGCATTCTTAAAAAACACCTATCCTATGTCTGATCCATTTCAGATACCCAACAGGCAACTAGTATCAATGCATCAGCTTAAGTGCCTTGCATAAACTTAGCCAGTGTGAATTTAGAACCACCTGTGTGTAGCCAGTGTGGTGTAGTGGTCAGAACACTGGATTAGGTTCTGGGAGACCCAGGTTTGATTCCCCACTGCCACAGAAGCTTGCTGGGTGACCTTTGGCCAGTCACACACACTCAGCCTAGCCTACCTCACAGGGTTTTATAAAAATAAAATGTAGGAATGAAGAACAACATAAGAAGAAGAGAGAGGGGGTGGAAAGAAGGAAGGAAGTCAACAGGGGGTGGAAAGAAGGAAGAAAAGAACGGGGTGGAAAGAAGGAAGGAAAGGGAGGTGAAGGGAAGGAAGGAAAGGGGGGAGAAAGTGAAATAGGAATGGGAGGGAAGGCTGAGATGACAGGGATAAAATCACAGCAGATGGGGCTTGGTGGGGAGAGTGAGAGAAAAGGAAAAGAAGAAAGGAAAGTCAGGGCGCAGGCAGCTGGTACGCTGTCCCAAAGAGGCGCTCTCCTATCCCCCTTTCCCCCCTCCCACCTGAGAAACAGCCTCCCCCATTCACCCTCCTGCAAAAACCCTCCTCCTCAGCGCTGGGCCAGGAAGAGAGGGAGTAGTGCAAATTCTGGCAACCAGGCATGGGGAAAGCCAACAAGGACTGGGCACAGCACTGACTGGGCAGCCTCAGCTGGGTGAGAGAGGCCACAGTCGACTGATCAGCAGCTCATCCCACCTTGGCCCCTTCCCTTCCCAGAGCTGGAGAGGCAGTCTGTCGCTGAAGCAGGAGAGCCCAGCCCTGCCAGGGATGTGCACTCCTCCCAGGGAAGCTGTGCAGGCCATGCTGAGGGCAGCACCTTGAGTCACTTGGGGGGGGGGAGGAACTGTGCAGCCTGGCTGGGACCCTCTCCCAGCCTCCCACCCTGGCAAAAGGTTTTCCCCCAAGCATCAGAGCCTCACTTCCCATCTGGGGAAGGGAAAGAAAGGCATTTAACCCCCCCCTTCTCCGAGTTTCTCCACAAAAGCCGGTAGGCTCAGGGGGAAAGGGGGGCATGTCTGCCCGCCTCCCCTCCCCAACCAACATGCCGTGGCTGGAGAAGGGAAGGGCAGGCAGGCAGACATGCCTGGGTTCCCTGCCTGATCTTCTAACAGAAGATCTTCTTACAGAAGATCAGGCAGGGAACCCAGGCATGTTTAGAATGCCTTCCTTTCCCTTCCCCATCTGAGGAAGGGAAAGAAAGGCATTAAAATCCCCCCAGGTGGGGGGGGGCTCTGCAGGCCTTCCCTGGCCCATCCGCCTCAGTGGGTGGGCCAGGAATGGCACCGGGGAGGCATTTAAATGCCTCCCCACTTCTTGCAGGGGCTTCCTTAGCTTGCCCCCTACATCCCCCAGGCCCCATCAACTTACTGTGCTGCTTCTTGCTCCTTGGGGGCCTGACGGAAGGCTGCTGGGAGCTGGGGGCGGAGCTTGCTGCATGTGCCCGCCCCTGAGCTCCTTACTGCCGTAGCGCCATTCCGGCGCGCTCCGGCAAGACATGACCCCTGGTTTCTACACCACTTAACGTATGATGTTTAAAAGTTCATACTTTGTTTCAGTGATGTTTGAGATTTCTGTATGTTTTCTGATTTCTGTAGTCCAAATCCTACTTATTGTATTGCTCATTGGATGTCCCATTCTGTTGATCGTACTTCATTTACATTATGTAATCTGCTTTGAGTTTCCGTAAGAAAGGAAGGCAATAAATAAATATTTTAAGTAGAAGTTGTTAAGGATACAACTTAGCAAGAACGAACTAATAGTTTTCATATAGTTTAAGAAGATATTTAATTATAGATAACTTTGTATGATGTCTGAAGTCTTTAAATAAGGAGTCAGGAATGTGGCCCTTATCTAGTATGACAGCTAACTATTAGAAGATGATTTTCAAAATTCATAAATATGGGAACCTAAACTGATTAGGAGAGGCTTCTTAGAAGGGGCACCTTGCTTGTAACCTGTTTATCTTTGGGTAAGATATGTTTGTTTGTTTATTAGTTATTTATTAGATTAGGTTTTTGACAGCCCTTTCCCGCTCGCGCGGTGCTCAGGGCAGTTCACGACAATTTAATTCAGGATAGTGTAAAATAAGTTAAAACCATAAAAACTCAGTATTTAAAACATTGGGGGATTTAAACATTTTAAAAACAAGATGGCCGTGCTAGCATGCAGTCATGAGAGGGGGGAAGGGTGCCAGGCAGGGGGAGGGTGCCAGGCAGATGTAAGGAACCACCGCTGGCCTCAATCAGAGGCCTGGTGGAACATCTCTGCCCTGCGAAACTTTAATGAATCAGACAGGGCATGGAGTTCCACCAGGCTGGGGCCAGAGCGGAGAAGGCCCTGGCCCTGATTCAGGCCAGCTGGATATCTTTTTGTCTATGGCAGCGGTTTTCAACCTGTGGGTCGCGACTCGCGACCCCTTTGGGGGTCGAACGACCCTTTCACAGGGGTCGCCTAAGACCATCGGAAAACACAAATTTTCAATGGTCTTATGATAGCAACGAAAATAATTTTATGGTTGGGGGTCACCAAAACATGAGGAGCTGTATTAAAGGGTCGCAGCATTAGGAAGGTTGAGAACCACTGGTCTATGGACTCACGTGTTACTCTTCTTTATCTGTGTAGTAGTGAATGAGTGTATAAATTTCCATTGAGTTTGTTAATGTTAACAATAAAATAGGATTTATTAAAGAAAAGAGTCTCTAGTATTATCACTTTTGTACTATATCTATCATGAACAAGAGATGTTGTTGATGTGTACTTCTTGCCAGGAATTAAATGGTCTGATATAGGAAATCTAACTAGATTCCTGGGGCTTCTTATGTGCATGCTTATATCCAAATCAGACCTGTTGTTTTCCTCCAAAGAGCAACTGAGGGTGAGTGCTATTTAGTTTGGGAAGAATTTACCCTCCCACCTCGAGTTTTGTGTTTGTGCCACCCCGTCCCATACAGTTATTTTTGATTTTTTTTAAAAAAAAAAATGTTGGAAATAAAACTATGAACCTTCTGCCATTTTATCTATTTGGCCCTCAGATTAGAAGGACGTGAAACTTTTGTAGGGCTGAACTGCGTGTTAATGTGTGAGATCCCTGACTGGGTCTTCCAACATATTTTTAAATGTTTGATTTCAGCCAGGGAAGCATCAGTTTACCACTAAAAGTTCCACTCTTCCAATATGCTATTAACCCCATGAGAGAAGAAAAGAGGCACAAATTCCTTATGCATTTTTAGCAATAAGAATACACCTAAAAATTGGATTATGGGTCTCCATTATAAGTTTGTAGTTTGACTCATAAACTAGTCTTTGCAAAATACAGTGTATTTTGTTTTTAAATACTTTGTTTTTATAGTGTTTCATACGTTAGTTATCTGCATTTCATCAATTCATTTAAGATCTTGTTATCTCTGTCTCTAGCAGTGTCTGATCGGCAGGAAAGTGCACTTATAGAGCTGATGGTATGTACAATTCGGCAAGCAGCAGAAGCACATCCTCCAGTAGGCAGAGGTACTGGGAAGAGAGTAAGTGTTACTAATTTTCAGTCAGAATTTGTAAAGTTGAACATACCAAAGGGCAATACGTATTTTTATTATTGAAGCATTGTTGTATATCAGAGTGCATTAATTTAAATCAGTGATTTAAATTATGATTTAAATCACCAAGAAGAAGGATAATAATTGAGCTGGTTCCTAATCAGGATGCATAGTCTAATTGGTTGCTGTAACCATGAAATATATTTCTAAAGTTAAGAAAGGCTTTGTTATAACCACAGAGAATACACTTTTTCTTAAATATGCAACTTAATTTTAACTATTTTAAAATATGATGGAATACTTTACTAATTTTTAGATAACAGCACCCTGTCCCACTCTTTAAAGTAATTAATCTTGGGGGGCGGTCTGTAATATGGCAGACGCTGAGTGAAGACTCTCCTGCCCTGATCTTCCCTTTCCTCAACGAAAACTCAAATCACAGCTCCGAAACTTGCTACAAGGTATGGGCAAATCAGGGGGCGCTCGTACTAAACATATTGACTCCCAAAAAAAAATCTAACGGCCTTTGCACTCAAAAACATGTCTGTCAGGAAGGCGGATGTGTCCAAACCGTCATTTAAGATGGCCGCCGGCGCTGGGGAGTCCTTGAGGCAGCATGAAACGCTTACTAAAACTGACTTAATAGGCACCCTATGTGACTTTAAATCAGATATTCTGAAGAATTTAAATGATATAATGAAGCCCATGACCGAGCAACTTGAATACTTGCAGTCATTGATGCACCAAATGTCTCAATCAGTTGAGATAGCCATGGAAAAACAGTATTGCAAATCAAGAAAGCATTCAGGACCTTCAACGTCATGAATTATGGGCAAAAGAAAAAATCATAACTTTGGAAAATAAACTGCGGGAGCATCACCTTAAATTTCAGAGTTTTTCTGAGTCATCGGAAGACAACACTGACCTGTCGGCTTTTATAGGCTCCTGGCTAGCTACTGCACTGCAGCTGGAAGATGGTGTAGCTCCCGCTATCCTGAAAGCTTACAGAATAGGCCCACTCAACCCTGACAAGCGGCAACTACCAAGAGACATATTGGCGGAGTTCCTTGATTCGCGCACCAGGAAACATATTCTTCAAGATGCCAGAGCACAAGGTGGCTTACCTTTTAAGGAAGTCAAAATTACAGGTTTTCCCTGACCTTTTGGCAGAGACCCTGCAAATCCGGCAGAATTTAAAATCTATAACCTCCAAACTCACAGAGGCGGGGATCTGCTACAGTTGGATGGCATCAGGCAACCTCCTGGTTCGGCATCAGGGCACATCTTTACAAGTGTGTGATGAAGACTCGGGCCACATCATGCTCAAGGAGTTGACGATCGCTGATGTTAAGGACTCTCACTCGAAAAAGACCTTCAAACGGAAGCTTGATTTCCCGGCTTCACCCATGCACTGGAGCAAGATTCCGGTTCGGAAGACTCCTTGATCTCGTGTACCAACTGATTTTGTTGTTGCTTTAACTATTGCATTAGGAGTTGTAGTTAATTGTAAAAATGCATAGGCTCTATAATCGTCAGGGAAAGGGAGAGTGGAGAGTCAGTTTCTGCCCTTGGACTGTGATGGGACCCCAGGGCGGAGACTTTTGACTCCACGTTGGTTTAACCAACATTCCTTCCAATTTTTCAAGGAAATATTTTGACTCAACTGAATGGGTATTTTTCTTTTTATTTTTGTCTTGCTGTTTATGCTTCTTCTTTCAGAGGGGGGGAGTATTAAGGGTGGGTTATAGCAGGGAAGAGGGAGGGTGGGGGGAAAACTGTTTCAGCATAGGCTGTTGGTATTGTTACTGTTAAAATATAAGTATGTGAACTTTTCTAGGTTATCTCATCCTAAATTGTTTATCTGTCAGAGTGTTCAGTGGGTGGGCGGGTTGGGGTGTAATAAGGGATTTAGATAAGTTTACGTTACTTGTTTTCCTTTTATTACACCAGGAACTGCTGGTTTGCTTTTGTTCCATATTAACAGCACTGCAAGAAGCAGATAAGTCTCTGAATATTGCCTTTGTGCATCAGTTGTTTACTTTATCTTGTATGACTTTATGCCGATTAAGTCTTTATACTGAGTTACCTAATAATTGTAGGATACTCTTTCAAATTGATGATAGCTTTCTTCCTATAAGATACATACAGCTACTGTTATTAAGTAATCTTTACTTACCATGTTTATTGGAGTGTAGTGAAAAGATACTCCATCATTCCTTATATGAGTACTGCTCTAGGTTAGCTGCAACCTTTGCATTAATACTATGTCTGGTAGCCATGTAAAATTCCTCTCTCTAAACTGCAGGGGGACTAACGATAAAATTAAAGCTAAAAGAATTTTGTCCTTTCTGAAACATTCCAAAGCAGATATCATGTTTTTGCATCTGGCTGGATGCCTCTTCAATTTTTAACTCCTGGAGGCCAATGCTATGCTGGGGGCCAATGCTATGCTGGGGATTATTAGGAAGGGTATTGAAAACAGATCAGCCAATATCATAATGCCCCTATATAAATCAATGGTGTGACCTCATTTGGAATACTGTGTGCAGTTCTGGTCACCACACCTTAAAAAGGATATTATAGCTTTGGAAAAAGTGCAGAAAAGGGCAACTTGAATGATAAAAGGGTTGGAACACTTTCCCTATGAGGAAAGGTTAAAGTGCTTAGGGCTCTTTAGCTTGGAGAAACGATGACTGAGGGGTGACATGATTGAGGTTTATAAGATTATGCATGGGATAGAGCAGGTAGAGAAAGAGGTACTTTTCTTCCTTTCTCACAATACAAGAACTCGTGGGCACTCAATGAAATTGCTGAGTGGTCGGGTTAGAACGGATAAAAGGAAGTACTTCTTCACCCAAAGAGTGATTAACACATGGAATTCACTGCCACAGGAAGTGGTGATGGCTACAAGCATCGACGGCTTCAAAAGGGAATTAGATAAGCATATGGAGCAGAGGTCCATCAGTGGCTATTAGCCACAAGGTATAGATAGGGACTCTGGGGCAACTGATGCTCTGTCTTCTTGGTGCTTGGGGGGGGTCAACAGTGGGAGGGCTTCTAATGTCCTGGCCCCACTGCTGGACCTCCTTATGGCACTGGTATTTCTGGCCACGGTGTGACACAGAGTATTGGACTGGATGGGCTTTTGGCCTGATCCAACATTGGCGTCTCTTATGTTCTTATGATTCAGTAAATCTAGGGGTGTGGCAATACTGGTAGCCAAAACTTCTAGATTCCAACAAAAAGATGTATTAGTGGATCCTGACGGAAGATATGTCTTTGTGAAAGGTCATCTAAATGGGGAACTACTTACCTTAGCTTCTACACATGCACCTAACACTGTTCAAATACCCTTTCTAAGATCTATGTTTACCGAACTTCGTGACTTCAGTGAAGGGAAGATTGTGCTTGGTGGTGATTTCAGCTTTGTAGCTAACTCATTATTAGATCGCTTATCACACCATAGGTGCGTTTCTAGTGCATCCCACATTCCCAAGAATCCTGAGGTACTTATATTTTTAAATATAATGACTTGTATGATATATGGCATTTACAACATGGTTTGGAAAAAGAACAACCTCATCATCAATAGGAATAAGACGATGGTCAGATCACGCACCAGTTAACTGTGTCAGAAGTGAAGAACAAACACAACGTAGATTTAATTGGATGTTAAATACAAATTTATTATCAGATCCGGTTGCAGTGAAGTCCATAAATGACGACATAAAGCAGAATCTGGAAGGCAGCGTTCCACTAGAAACGGTCTGGGACTAAGCAGTTATTAGAGGGAAGTGTATTGCTTTATCTACAGCCTACAAGAAAGAGAAAAACAGATTGAAGACAAACTTGCTGCTACTCAAGCTCACTTGTAGTAAGAAAATATATCAACAGCTTCTTTTACTCACTTGTAAAAGCTACTCACAAACTCACTTGTAGTAAGAAAATATATCAACAGCTTCTTTTACTTCGGAAGAAGCTAGAAGCTTTAGAAATTATGCAAATCCAAAAAAATATCTTGAAACTTAAGCATAAATACAATTACAGGGGCCCCAAAACTTTGCGGTTCCTGTCACGGAAGCTTCGAACGCAAAAGGCTGAATGCATAATTTCCTGCATCAGGGACAGATGGAGTCCTGCAAAATTCATCTAAGGGCGTACTCACCGCCTTTTAACAATACTATAAGACCTTATATGATTCTACCAATCCAGCTCCAGAAGCGATTTCTGCCTATCTTAAATCTCATTTACATATTCCACAACTTTCATCAACACACCAAAAGTATTTTGGTAAGCCAATTACGACGCAAGAAGTTATTCCAGCTATAACTCTATGAAATGCAATAAAGCTCCAGGACCAGATGGCTTTCCCACGGAGTTTTATAAAAGTTTTACAGATATGTTAGTTCAACCACTCTCGGATGTTTTCAACCAAATTATGAATTATAAGCCAATGCCTCCATCGTGGAAATCAGCAAGGATTATTGTTCTATTGAAGCCAGGAAGAGGTAGATCAGATCCCAAATCGTAGCGTCCAATTTCACTTCTAAACTGTGATTACAAGATTCTTACTTCTTTGTTTTCTTTGTGCCTAAGGAAGATAATACCTGAATATATACACCTGGATCAGACAGGTTTTATACCTCTGCGTGACATCTCTGACAACATCAGAAAAACAGTTGACATCATTCATTACTGCAAGAATCATCGTATACAATCTTCTTTTATGTTTTATATAATGTTTAAACCCCTTCTCTCTGGAGGTGTGCCGCAGCAGCAGTGTGATATTTCCATTATATTCTATGGGGCCTTGGCGGGCCAGCTGGGGAAGCAAAAAAGGGGGGGAGGCATCTTCAAAAGCCTCCCCTTCTCTTCCCCAACCGGCCTGCCAAGGCAGGCTGGGGGGGGGAAGTGAAGAGAGAAGGGATGTAAAGTTTAAACCCGTTCTCTCTGGAGTCGCGCCGCAGCGGCAGTGTGATCTTTCTATTGTATTCTATGGCCCCATAGAGCCCCATAGAATATAATGGAAAGATCGTGCTGCCACTGCGGCGTGACTCTTTGCTTTCCCCCCTCAGCCCACCTTGGCAGGCTGGCTGGGGAAGAAAGGGGAGGCTTTTGAAGATGCCCCCCCTTTTGCTTCCCCATCTGACATCACTTCCGGTGATATGGGGGGTTTGACATATGCTAATATGCTATTATGCTAATAGTCTTTTAGATATGCTAATGAGCTCCTGCAGTACTTTTTCTACGAAATGACCCCTGCCCATACCCTCTCCATTCTTTAAACAATGGCAACGAAATCTAAAAAACTTAATTTGGAATTTTAAGAAACCTAGAGTTCATTTTCTTATGATGCGCAGACTTAAATCTATTGGAGGCTTGGCGGTTCCTGATCTCCATTTATACTGCTCTTCAACAATTTTATCAAATATAGTCAAACAATACCATGTCTTGTATGAAACTGACTGGAAATTAATAGAAGAGACTTTTCTGCTGTCCGGTTCTTTTCGAGAAGCGATACGGCAATCTCCATCTAAAAGACAACATACGTTCCAAGAGAATAACTTTCTGAAAGCAGCATTCCAAATTTGGGACAGGCATAGGAGACGTCTTCTTCCAGCGTGGTCTTCCCTAACCAGTTTCTTGTATCAAACCTGGTTCCCCCCAGGCAACCATCACGGGGCATTCAGCAAATGGAGATTGGCACATTTATTTATTTATTTATTTATTTCATTTATACCCCGCCCTCCTCGCATACGGGCTCAGGGCGGCTTACACAGGCACAACAGTGCAATAAAATATAACACATTAAAACAATTTAGGCACGCAAAGTGCGATAAAATTACACAATTAGCCACTTAAAACACAGTTCAATCTTACAAGATGCATCGGTAGTTAGAGTCATAGACATCTCAAAGCAGGGATCCATTTTAGACAAGGCTTTGATTGAACAAGCTGGGAAAAGGACCCTTCTTTGGTTCGAATATCTTCAGCTAACACATCTGTTTCATTCATTTAAAGATAAAATAGCTTTTCGTAAACCACCGAGTTTGTATGAACGACTACTGAACTCTAAAGTCTGCCACAAACAAGGTATGATTTCCATGCTTTACAAATTCCTTTTGTCAAATCTAGAACCACCTGCTGCTTCTTTTTAAACAGCATGGCATAAAGACCTAAACAAGCAACTCACAGATGAACAATGGAACAGAATTTGGACTTCATCGATATATACCTCACGGTCAACATTTATCCATGCCCAATCGGTCAAACTTCTTTTAAGATGGTACTTAACTCCAGTTACACTAGCGCATGTTAAACCATTAAATTCTCCCCCTTTGTTGGAAACAGTGTGGGGGTAAAGGCACCTACTTCCACAACTGGTGGACATGTCTACTCATAGAGGATTTTTGGAACAAAATCCTACTGGTAATAAAACAATGGAATGGCCATATGGTCATTAAAGACCCCACTCTTATCCTTTTAAATCTATGGCTGAAAACTAAAATCCTGAAACATGACAGGGACTTAATCATAGTTCTACTTACAGCAGCAAAAAATGTTATTGCTCGGCATTGGAAACTTCATACTACTCTGTCATTACATCAGTGGCTCCTTAAAATCTGGGTCTGTTTTATTTTTGACAAAATCTCTGAACAGACTTCTCAGTCATGTAAGGTTGATCCCTCTGATAATTTAATGCTTAAATGGGCCCCCTTCATCAATGCTAATATTGGCCTACAGATACCAGCAACACAACCTAGGGTAGACCTTTATCTATTCTCATGAATATGATTAGGATGGTTTATTATAGCTTACTATAAGTGGTTGTTTACTTGTTGGTGTGAAATTCACTTATTGTAATTCATGTTACCAGTGTTCTCCATTATACGGTTTGAATAGTACTACTCAGTTATATTCTTAGATGCAGTTTCTTGGTATTGTATTGTATTCTATTTATTCTATACTTAATAAAAAAATTATTTATTTTTTTAAGTAATTAACCTCAACCAGCTATAACGTCTATTGTTAGCTACTGGCCAGATTGTTTTTTTCCATGAAATCTAAGGTAAATGTCTATGTTCTTAGACTTGCAGGTAAAATCATAAATATTTAATTATAAATTATTGCTGAGCAACTGCAAAAGTTAGACAATTCCTAGGCATAAAATAGGTATAAAGGGTCACCCAGATGGGTCATTTAGTGGCACCAGGTGTACCATTTAGATTCCAGAGGAATCTGATCATTAATGCCCATTGGAGCAAAATTATATTTTGCGGATGTTGTGCTTCTGTCGCTTCATCTTAATCTATAGACCAGGCATTTTTTACTATTTTAAACTTTTTCTTATGAAAGTATATAGTTGGAGTGATTGCTCAGTCTCCATAGGTGCATATAGATTAGACCTTATTATGTAATGGACATCTTTAAACACTATTTTGTATTTTTGTATAAACTTTTGTATTATATTATCTGAATGTACCATACTTAGGAAGTGTTGTTTCTTTTTATACTGGAGTATTCCCAGTTGAAAAGAACAGAATTTAGTTTGGTTATTGCTGTGGGGCCCACTTAAAGCGCCCATATAAAAAAACCCAGATTTTAACAAAATACAGTATTTGTTTGAAATCAAGTGCCTGCCTGGGCAGTGGGTTCATCAAGGCTCTGTTTGTTAAATGATACATGTTAAGTGAAACAGAAGCCATGAGAAAAGTCTATAGAATGTTTTAACCCAGAATTGCAGTATATGAGCTAATATACTTTTAATTTTATAGGTTTTAACTGCAAAAGAAAGGAAAACTCAGATAGATGACCGAAACAAGTTAACAGAACACTTCATTATTGCACTTCCCATGCTACTGTCAAAGGTAATATTCCCTAAAATGTTTTTTCCTGATATTAAACCTATTACTCTTCTTTTGTAACTTGACCATTTTTTTCCATTGCCAGTATTCTGCTGATGCAGAGAAGGTGGCAAATCTCCTTCAAATCCCTCAGTATTTTGACTTGGAAATCTACAGTACGGGAAGAATGGAAAAGGTATATTGCCAAAATAACAGCTATTCTTAACTGAATAAATTAGTATTCATTTTAGTTGAAGATATTATGCTAGTTTCCTGTCTTGTGTTGCTGTCTTGTGGCATTCTTGTGTTTTGCTTAACATATACTATAAGAAGTAACAGAACTTCCTCTCCGTTCCACAGCATTTGGATGCCTTGTTGAAACAGATTAAATTTGTTGTAGAAAAACATGTAGAATCGGATGTTCTTGAAGCCTGCAGCAAAACATACAGCATTCTCTGCAGTGAAGAATATACTATTCAAAACAGAGTTGATGTAGCTCATAGCCAGCTCATTGATGAATTTGTGGACAGATTCAACCATTCTGTAGAGGATCTCTTAAATGAGGTTTGTTTGAATCTTCTTTTTTCTCAGTACTAAAGTATCTGCCCACACATTAGTGCCAGAACACTACTAATCTCAACTATTTATTTTTGTTTGTATCCCAGAACACCAAATGAAAACTAAGGTTCTGTTGTATTGGGGGTGTAAAAGACAGAGGGCCTAGACAGAGGTGGGTGGCAAACATATGAACACGTTCACTGTGAAGCACAAATAGAGATGGAACAATTTCTGTTTCACCATAATGTTCAGTTAGTAGCAGATTGTCACGTGATGATGATAATGATGCAGATAAATCAAACCCTCAGTATGATTATTGCTACTAGTGAATTTGACGCTACCATAAATATCTTTTATTTTTCATAGTTCTGTGCTTAAGACCTGTGGGGAACGGTAGTATTCAGAGTAAGGTGGCAGATTGATTTGAAGAGTCAATGAGTTCAAACACTGACAGACTTTCACGATAGGCTTCCTTGTATAAAGAGGAGGAGTTTGCATCTAACTATTCTGTAGGATTGCCTTTTGTAAATCAGAGAGGCAAATAGAAAACCAAACACTTATTTTCTCATTATAATACGAACTCTTCAGTCATTTGGATTGGATTAACATGTACAAAAGATGTACCATTACTTTGTAATAATCTCCCAATGATATAGAATTGAATGATAAGTTTAGGTTAGGTTTAAGTTAAATTGTCTGTATGTTTCCCTCTACAGGAATCTGTATCAGCTCATTGATCCCTAATTTTTAAATATGCAAAAGTGAACTTCTGAAGTACAGTCTTTAAATATTTTAAGCAATAATTTTCTCTCTAGACGCAGTTGCATACACATCCTTTGTTGGTATTGTTGACTTTTTAGCATTTATCTCTAGTCCTGTAAACAGTAATTCCAGTTTGGAAGGTTGCTTAACAGTTGGCAGAAAATGTTTCGCTCACAAGGAGAAAAATTCACCAAAGAATGCTGAAACTTATAAGAGAAGCTTATAAGATCTTTCTATGAATGAAGATCAATATCTAACACAACCATCTATATGAGATAATGAATTAGCCCATTATTAGTGGAATATACCTCATCATCTGACACAAGGCCTCTTACACTGGAGGAAGGTTCTAGTGTTAATGGAGTGGAAAGATGTAACCTTTAATTCCCATGGAACCTGATGTCCTAAGGTTGCTAGAATCTATGGAGAAACATACCTTGTGGCCATTTCAGTCTTCTTTTAGCCTTCTCTATTTGTGTAGACTGAACTGTTCACTTGCACATGAGAACACTTGTAACTTTTAAAATGTAAATAATGAAAGTGTAATGTGCTCATTCCTTGATTTAGTGTGTTTACATTTCCAGGGAGAAGAAGCTGATGATGATGACATATACAATGTTCTTTCCACTTTAAAGAGATTAACATCTTTTCACAAGTATGTGTCTTTCCTTGTTAACCAGATCAAATACTGTCTTTTGTTTGCCTGTTATTTTTGAACAGGTATTAGGGAAAGGTGTATCAAATTAAGGCTGAAAAATAGTTAAGAGATAGAAAGGCTTCCAGTCTTGCACAGTTCTTAAGCACACAGACACAGTAGCAGGGGAAGGAAAAGTCTGGAAAGACTTATTTCCACCAGTCTTTAGTCACTGCATAAGATCCAACCCAAGCAGTTTGGTAAAGAGTGTGTTGTCCTTTTGCTTTGTAACAGTTTCAAGTTTCTAAGAATTCAAATTCTTCTATTACAAAATCTTCCTAATTTATAGTCAACAGGGTTAATCATTTCTGACTTTGGCTGTAATTTATAATCAAAAGTTTTTATATTACTGTTAGTCAATTTATTTTGGAATTGGAAGTAATCATTGTATGGATTATGAGTATGATAGGGCTATCCTAAGCAGTCCTAAGCACATTTATACGCTTCTAAGTCTGTTGAAGTCTAGTCTTGGAAGATTGTTACACCAGTTTGGTGTAGTGGTGAAGTGCGCGGACTCTAATCTGGGAGAACCGGCTTTGATTCCCCACTCCTCCACTTGCACCTGGCTGGATGACCTTGGGCAAGCCGTAGTTCTGATAAGAGCTGTTCTTGAAAAAAGAGCAGTTTCTGTGAAGCGCTCTCTCAGCCCCACCTACCTCACAGGGTGTTTGTTGTGGGGAGAAGAAGGGAAAGGAGTTTGTAAACCGCTCTGAGACACCTTTGGGTAGTGAAGGGCGGGGTATAAATCCATCCTCCTCCTCCTCCTCCTCCTCCTCCTCCTCTTCTTCTTCTTCTTCTTCTGACTGCGCCTTGCATTCCTTAAAAAGCAGTTTTTCTTGTCAGCGATGACCACTGCCATTAAATGTTTGCTATAATGTTTAAAGTACACGTGGCAAATCCTGCTTTGCTTTCTGCTCTTCTTGAGTCTGCCTCTTTCACCCCCCTCCACCTAATCATTTCACCATTCCCACTGTATCCCGGTTCTTTCCATCCATCACTTCATACTATTCTCCTCCCCACCAATTATAATAGCCCCTCTACCACACTTTTTCTGATCATTTCTTCCTGCCTGTTCCTTGTGCCATCACCCCATTATCTCCTTCCAGAGTTTTCCATTTCCTTTTATTCTTCTTGTCTCCTCATACTCCCTTTTCACAGTTAATGCTTTGTCATCTTGTCATCCCTATCATTCCTACTCCACTCACAGTACTCCCTCCTTGTTCTCCATTAGCTGAAGGAAGGTATCCTAAAATGGGATACATCCCCTACTGGCTCTGCAGGCAGGGCTCTGCATTTATTTTTTTGTAGCACTTCCACATCCAGCTGGAGAAAGAGTGCCAGTCCATGCCCTGCCTCACTCCACATCAGACAAACGTCCACAGCTTTCTGCAAAAATAAAAAATAGAGAAAGAGAGAAAGACTTCAGATGTTAGGCAAGGAATGGAATAAAGAATGACAAGATGCCAAAACAAAAAAACCTTTGGGAGTAATACTGAGCCTTTTTAGCACAAGTCATGAGGATGTGCCATGGAGCCAGGAGATTGCCTGATGTCTGATCACTTAATGCCTAGAATGACCGCTTTTACAGTGGATATCTTGCCTCTGCTGGTTCCCTGGGTCAAGGGATTGGCTAGTGCTTCAGCTGCCAAAAAGCCTACTAAGATTCTTCTCTTCCTCCTTGCTAAGGCCTCAGCTGGGGCAGGAGCCTTCCAGACTACCTTCAACACTGTTGGAGCAAATTGGCACTGCTTTTGATTCAGGCAAGCAAAACCACTCCAACTCAACTCAAGCAGATCAGAGAGACTCCAGGGTTTTAGCAATCTTAATAATTGGTGGCAACAAGACTTCTCATGTAATGAGTAAACACCATAGGACAGAGGTATTGGACTCATTTGTTATGAGGACCGGATCTGACATTAATGTCACTTTGTTGGGCTGGGCCATAGCCGCCATAAAATGTAACATGAGGTACCGGAGATATAAACTTTATAAAAATAATTTCAGATGTCAAATGACAATAGCAGATGAATGACAATTACGGGCATGATTGGATTTGGTGTGATATGCAGAGGGGTAGTAGGCGTGGAGATACCAGCATTGGTAATGAGACAGGAAACCTAGGTCTCAGTTCTATCCAGGAGGATGCAAACAATAAATGGACATAAGTCTGACATTAGAAACCACAACATTCAGTTGCTGACCTAAGAGTAGCAGAGCGCTTACAAAGGAATTAGGAATTTCAAAGGAAGATTAGAAAGAAAGATGGATGAATTGCAATTGATAATGAAGCTCAAGACAATGCATCCTCCTGGACTTAACTGAGAGCTAGTTTTCCTGTCTCATTACCAGTGTGTGCTATTATCATTTGGCATCTGAAATCACTCCACTCTCCAAGATATAAGGGCCAATCCGAGTGTTCTAATTCCTAATCAGGCTCTTTTTGAAATAAATAAATAAATCCAGATATGAATAGAGAGATCCAATCTTTTTTTAAAAAAACCCAACCTTTTAGAATAAGCCAAAATAATTTCCTCGATGTACATTGTTCTTGTCAGAAGAACCAACCCACCCACTCCCTCCCTCCCTCCAAAGAAGTATGCTTGCACACAAAAGATTATACCTGGAATAAAACATTGTTGGTCTTGAAGCTGCAATGGGATTCCAATTTTGTTTTCTCTCTCTCCTCCCTTACATCCCCCCAAAAAGGAGGAGCAGCCCCAGAGAAGGAAGCAGAAGCTCTCTGTGTGTGCGAGAGAGAGAGACAGAGGCTTGTCGTTGTATCTCTCCCGCATAAAGTAGGAAGCAGCCACAGAGGTGTGTGTGTGTGTGAAAGAGAGAGAGAGAGAGAGAGAGAGCAAGGGGGGAGGGAGCAAGAGGCAGGAAGCAAAAAGTCACAAGGGAGCTGGGATAAAAGTAAGCTATGGTGCAGCTGCAGCAGCAATCCCGGGAAAGGAAGCAGGAGAAGGAAGTTGTTCAGGGGCCGGATTTGAGCCCTCTTTGGGCCGCATCTGGCCCGCAGGCCACATGTTTGATACCCCTGTCATAGGGACCTGGTGGAGGTGCAACACTCACAAGGATCTTGTGGCTCATCATCCTCCCCTCCAAGGATTTTGATGGGGCATCCCTACCCCCCACTATTTTGTCCTGGATCATTAACAAAGTTTTTAAAATGAGGGGCTTTAGAAAAGCAGGAAGGAAAGCAAAAGTTCAGACATAGGGACTACTCTCCCTTTTTGTTTTTTCGTCCCCTTTCCTACATAACTGCAAAAGATTCAGAAGGAACTTAAAGGCCCAATGCAGGTGTTCCTCTGATGAAACCAACTCCTATTCTCCAGATCACCAGCACACGTCAAGGAGCAGAGACACTAGGAGATCCTCCAAACACAAAAATGTTCAAAACCCTCTCTCCTCTGCAGCCCACATGCCACATTGACCCATCTGGCCATTTGGATTCTTATCACTCAAATTCATGCTCCCTCCCTTCTTCTGCCATTAAGACTCTGCAAGTTCCCTTCATGGAGGCCCTGTAACTGCCCTACTGCTATGTAAGCCGCCCTGAGCCCTACGGGGGAGGGCGGGATATAAATCTAATAAATAAATAAATAAATAAATAAATACTGTCAGCCATGGTGCCACCCAAGGAAGAAGACAACACATTCAAGGGCCATATGGATAGGAAGGATGAGCTCTCCCTAAAGAAAACTCATGAAGACTCGGCACTAGCCTAGCCATCAGGGCGAACTCATCTGTTCAGTCTTTACTATAGCAGCAGTCCTTTGGACAAATGGGTTCTTGTAGAACTTGAACCTAGACCTGGTCAGATTGAGACAAGTGCTGCTAAAAATCAAGAGAGCCTCCCTTTTCATGGGTGATGCTAGGATGGATGCCTTGCAATTTTCAGGAAGATCCCTCACAGCTAACACCATGACTCACTGTAATCTATTACTAAAGGCTTTATCCTAAAGCACTGGAAAGTAGATCAACTGTCCAAAAACAACCTCTCTTCCAAAGAGAAAAGCTGATTGGGGATACAGCTCTAGATGAGGTCTTAGTTAAGAAAAGAGAAAAGCTATCCTCATCTTCCAAAACAGTGGTAAATAAATCAAAGCAATCTTCATAGAGCTCCCACTGCTCTTTTAGCAGCTATTACAGACAGCATGACTCCAGACGTCCCATGTTTCCCAAGCCCATCTGGAACAAACAAATGTTTCCAGAGACACAGAGATTTTCTGAGACATACTCCATTTTTTGTGCTCATAGAGAGGAAGAATGAAGAGCTATCTTTGATCTAAAATGCCTCAGTGAGTGGGTCAGCAAAAGGACATCTTGTGCTTCATAGTAGAAGACCTTTAAACAGCTGACTTTCTGGTGTCATACCTACATGTAACCATCTACTCAGTTTCTATGCCATTCCTTCGCTTAAACCAGCACTTCCAGTATTAGGTGTTCTCGTTTAGCCTTTTTGTCCTCCCTTCAGGTCCTCACAGAGCTGATAATCACTCTAGTTGCTCACCTAGGGATGAAAGGAGTGCACCTGAAGAGAGTGCATCTCCTTATCAAGTCACTATCCAAGGCCAGATGAATATGCATATACAGTGGTGGATGAGCTAGTGAAGCATGGGTTCTTAGTGAACCATCTAAAGAGCTTGCTGCCTGAGTCACAACCCATCATCTATTTGGCACACATACAGACACAAGAATTTGCAACCTCTCTCCTAGATAAGAGAATATCCAGCATCCCGCAGACTCCGATCCCCTTCAAATGAGCCAATTTCTGCTGACTTAATGACCCCGTGCAGTTGCTAGGAGTAATGATTTCCTGCATCAGCGTACTGTCTGCTGCAGTGAATCCTTCTTCTTTACCAGGAGAGCATCCTGCAGTGCAGCCACAAACAAATCCCCTTCCACACATCTCCTTGTGGTGGACAAAAAGGGAAAAGTCATAAAAAGAAATCCTTTCC